TTACGCTCGGGCATCAGCAGTTTAGAAAGTGCCACTTTAACAGTACAATGCCATCCCCTACCACACCCATGATAAGAGAACAAAAATCAATCATTCGTATTGAAAGGAAAACTTCTTTCAGAGGATGGAGACTACTTTACCAGTAATATTCGGAGTAATATATTTCTTGGAAGGACTGTTGGCCCTTCTGGGTAATATTTTCACCATCTTTGTTTTCTGGAAGCATCGAGCGGAGTTGAAACGAACTTCATATCTTCTGGTGAATTTGGCTTTTGCAGATGTGTTAGTGGCAATCAGTATATTAATCGCTTTGGGCTGCGAAGTGCGAAACCTGGCTGAAGGCAATTATTATATGGTAAAGCAATGGCAATTTATCTTTTTCATGATTTGGGACACGCTCTGTGAAACAACCTCACTGCTGAGTTTATTAGTGATATCATTCGAGCGACTCTACGCAGTTCGCTGGCCTTTCCGTCATCGCACTTTGAGCACCAGAACCTATATCTACACTCTCTTCTTTGTGTGGGTTATTGCTGTACTTATCCTTGCGTTTATTTGTCTTTCGTTGGCCTTTGTTGAACATAGTAGAGTGATTTATACTGTTGCTCCCTTTCTTTCCTCGTTGGTCTTGATTCTCATCTGTGTAGGATATTTCCTTATTTACCTACAAACAAAACAGAATATTCCTGACGGATTCCACCAGAGTCGCATACAGCAAAACAAGAAATTGAGCAAGACTCTCTGCATTGTCACGTTTTCCTCCCTCGCCTGTTGGTTTCCTTCTATCGTCATAGCTCTAGCTATCGATTACACAAAGTACTACACTGCGAATTCATTGAACCTAACTCACTCGTCACATAATCTTATTCGTTTCTTCAAAGTCATGCAATACGGGAACTCCCTTGTCAATCCCATAGTTTATAGCTTTCGAATGCCCTTGTTCAAGTCAGAAATCAAGGAGTGCTTGATTAAAATCTTTGGGGCAAGGGAAGCAGTCATCGGTGCAGATCAACAAATAGGTGTACGCTCTAAGCCAAGCAAACAGAAAGTTATTGATTTAGACGATACGAAACTATAATGCCTTTATGCAAGCATTTTATCTCGTTTAGAAAACAGTGAAGTTACTGGGTTCTCAGAATGAACCCGTTGATAGAAAAAAGTGCCAGTGATATCAATTTATATGAAACATCGCATCCGTGTTTTATTCTGTTCTGTTTAACAACGAAAAGCCAGTCCAAGAGACGTGCAAAAAGAGAGACTATAACAGCTGAGTAGTTAGAACATCAGTACCATCCTGTAGATAGACTGAGGAGGACGTGTGTGACAAACACTCCTGTGAAACTAATGTATTCGAAAAAGAGAGAACCTTTGAAAATTGTAATTACAATTGCAAAATACGCTTGCTTTTTTAATAAACTAAAGTTCTACAGTTACAGACGTAATGATACTCAGCCTCACAAACAAAGCCCCTTTTGTGCCAGATCCCACCTG